TAAAGGAAAGGAGCTCTACACAACTTCCTGTGGTCATGGCTTCAGATGTCAGTATCATCTATGACAATGAGGCTCTCTCAAATGCCATCCTTGGTTGAATTTTAATTCCTTAAATTTAATATGTTTTTATAAGATACACGCCGATTATTAAAAGTGGTTATCTCAGAGAATCAAGATGGTGGAGGAGTGGAAGCCACACTGACCTCCTTCCAGAACCAAACTGGAATTACAACTAAATTGTGGAGAAATCACCTGGAACAAGCAACTGAACAATAGCAAGAGAGGAGCCTTGTAACCTCAGAGACAGAAGAATCAGCTTTAGCGCAACCTAACTGGTAAGGAGTGCAGACTCAAGAAGGCAGGCGGGGTGCCCATGGGTGGCAGCACCAGAAGGATATTGAAACAGCCAGTTGGATCCCCCTGAGAAGAGGGGTCTAAACCAAAAGCAAGGATCTCTAGCCTACAGCACCAGAGCCCAAAAAGTACACAGAAAACAGCCAGCTGCGAAAAGCAGCAGGGTTGCTCTCTGCCAGAGATGGGTGGCTGGAGACACAAAGAGCTGTTTAAAGGGCCAACGCATAAATTTTTATTTGCAGCCACTTACCTTGGTCTCCAGCAAAGGCAGGGGCAGAGTGGGCTGGTGACGCCTAAGGAGAGACTGGGGATGGAGGCTTTGGGGAAAATACTGAGAGAGTAGCTGGTGGGTTCTCGGTGCTGACTCGTCCCCCATGCGGCAAGAGCCATCTTGCTCACGCAGAGACACTCCCCCTGAGCAGCATCAGCAGCATCAGAGGACCCAATAGCCCCACCCCAAGGTGGGGCTCCACCCCGCTCTGTGCTGTCTAAGCCACCTGCTGAGTGCAGAATGGCAGCCAAAGATAGTAGATCACTGGCTAAAGGGGGCACAGAGTGGTCTGGAGACACTTGAGGAGAGACTGGGGATGGAGGCTTTGGGGAGAGAACAGAGAGAGTAGCCAGGGGGCCCCAGTGCTGATTCCTCTGCAATACGGCAGCAGCCATCTTGCTCAGGCAAAGACCATGCCCCTGAGTGGCAGCACCATGAGAGGACCCTATAACCCCGCCCCCAGGCGGGACTCCACCCCACCCTGAGCAGTCTACGCTGGCCTGCTGAGTGCAGAGTGACTAGATTAACAGCTGAAGGAGACAGCCACAGACCAGTAGATTCCTGGAAGTCTTGAACAGACTGCCTAAGGTCAGACAGGGTCAACATCTGACATCATCAGAGGCAGATCAATTTAAGAAGCAGAAGCAAAAAAGAAGAGTCTCACAAATAATGGCAAGACAAAGAAACACACACACACACACACCCCCATTTAAAGGGAAAGGAGGAATCCCCAGAAAGAGAAATAAATGAAATAGAGGCAAGGAAACTATCAGATATTGAGTTCCAAACAACGGTCCTAAGGAAGCTCAATGAGCTCAGTGAGCTCAGAGAGAATTACAAAAAACTACAGGGAAACTAAGAGGAACTTACTGCAAACTACATCAGCATGAAAAAAGACATAGAAACTATCAATAAGAGACAAGAGGAAAGGAAGAATACAATTTCTGAATGGAAGAACACAGTAGAAGGAATCAAAAGCAGGCTAGATGAAGCCGAGGATCGAATCAGAGAGCTGGAGGACAAGGTAGAAAAAAGCTCCCAGAAAGAGCAAGAAAATGAAAAAAGACTCAAAAAAAAAGAAGAGGCGTTGAGGGAAATGCAGGACATTTCCTTTCACAGTCACCAATAATTGATATTACCAAAATTTTTAATACTTATTAATCTGATTGTGACAATGATGTGTTAATTGTTCCTTTATTATTTGTTGAAACTAAACCTGTTTCTGTATATTTCTTGCCTATTTCTACTGTTTTTAAAAAAAGCTTTAAATGACTTTTTTGTATTCTTTATCCATTTATCTATTAAAGGTTTGTAGAATTTTTTTCCCTTAAAAAAAAAAAGCAACTCTTAACCCTTTTTTAGATGTGTGGCAAATACTTTCCCATTCCATTACTTGTCCTTTAACTTTTTTATATGTATATTACTATATAATCTTAAATGTTTAATATAGTCATATTGTCAATATTTTACTTTATAGCTTTTGGGTTTGAATATTTTATTTCAGGGTAAGAAAAATATTAATTTGTATTTTCTCCTAAAACTCCTTAGATTCTACATGGTTTTTTAACTCTTCTGAATATTTCTTGTATAATGTGTGAAATAGGGCTCTATATTTGTTTTATGTCAAGTAACAGTGGTCCATGCACCTTATTTGTTGAATAAACCTTATTTTACCCATGATTTGAAATATCAGTTTAATCATATATTACATTGTTTTATATGTACATTTGTTTCCAAAATGTTCATTATATTTCATTGATCTACTTGATTATTTCTGTGCTGGTGTCATGTTGTTTTAATTGCTGAGCCTTTATAATGGTTTTAAATTTTTTAATATATTATAATTGACTTTGACATTTAAAAAATAAATAAAATCAATCTGCATTTTAAAAAGAAAGGAAAGGAAAGAAAAAAAGGAAGTAAGGAAAGGGAAAGGAAGGGAAGGAAGGAAGGAAGGAAGGAAGGAAGGAAGGAAGGAAGGAAGGAAGGAAGGAAGGAAGGAAGTCCTTACCTTTTGCGACAACATGGATGGAACTGGAGAATATTATGCTAAGGGAAGTATGTCAGTTGGTGAAAGACAAATACCACATGATCTCACCTATAAGTGGAATTTATTCAAAAAAATAAACTAACAAACAAAATAAACCACAGGCATGGAAACATGGAGCAGGCTGAAAGTGACCAGAAGGGGTGGGGAAAGAGGACAATGGTAGACAGAAGGGGAAGGGATTAGACAAAGAATATGTATGAATGACCCATGGACATGGCCAACAGAGTGGGAATTGACTGTGGGAAAGAGAGGGGTGGGGGTGGGATGGGTGGGGGGGGTAAAGGGGGAAAAACTGAGACAACTGTAATAGAATAAACACGATTTAAAAATTTTTTTAATAAATGTAATAAAACATGACATCCTACCTTTAAAAAAAATGAATAAAATTTTCAGGTAAAAAAAAAAGTGGTTATCTCTGAGACATGAGATGATGGAATACCTCCTGTTCTTTCTCATTTTATTTTTATTACCCTGATGTATTATTGCTGCCACTCCCATGCCCCAATAAAAGAAGTTGTATTTTCAAAACTCCTCATGGAACATTATTTAATTTCCTCTTTTCTCCAAGCTAAATCCTAGTTTCATCCAGGGATTGACAGCTCAGGTTCTTCTGTGGGTGGAATTAAAAAAAAGAGAAAGAAAACGCAGAGGGTGGAGGGCAGTGCAGGTGACCCTGGCAAAATGCAGAGCACACAGCTGATGGGAAGGTACTCAGATCCCAAATCGGGCTGTGGGCACCCAGCCCGCAGCTTCGCCCGCAAGCACTTTTCCCCATGCTTTATTTCCCAGGTCTTCAAGCTTTCTAAATTATTATGTGGGGTTCCAAAAGAAAACATCTTTGGTTTTGGCCATCAGAGGAGACATGCCTTTATCTGTTGTGCTGCCAGCGATTTTGGTCCCATGCTGAACACTGGCCAGCACACAGGACTTATACCTGCAAAGGATGGTCAGCCTCCTCGTCCTAGGAGCAGCCACAGAAGCCAAGCAAAGATCTGTGAGTCAGGGAAATGTGACTCACAGACCTCACTCTGCAGTGGCTTGGGCACCATGGCAACAGGGTGCCCCATCCTGAGCAGATGGAACAGCAGACAGCCCGTCATGGCCCCTGGCATGCGGCGCCTGCTACAGCAGACCATGTCACCTGACCAAGTAGACTTGCTTCTGTCCAACTGGCACAGAGTCACGCTGGTAACTATTTACATGAGTCAAAATCCACGCAGAGGCAGCAGATGGCCGGGCCAGGCTGAGACATGGGGAGAAATAGGGCGGGTTGGGGCTAAGTCAGAGGCAGGAGCAGCAGACAGCTCCTCTGTGGACACTGACAATTCAAAACATCACTCCTGTTGCTGCCTGGTCTCTCAGCCTGGCTAGAGGCAGGGCAGAGATTGGGCATGAACAAAGCTGAAAGGATCCCAGGCTTATCCCTAGACTCCAAGACAAAAATGGCCTCGGAGAGGCCCGTGCCACTCCCCAGGCACCTGTCAGCACACCAGGCCACTCTCCTGGGGTCTTTGACACCTTCCATGGTTGGAGCCAGCAGAGGGGCCATATCAAGCTGAGATAAGCAAGACAAGCAACTCCAAAACATTAGGTCTAACATTGCGACCAGAAGGAGTGGAGGGATCAGGGGCTCCTGCGTCTATGTCACCTCTGTCATCTGTCACACAGGTGTCCCAGGGCTTGGTACACAACAGGTAACCAGAGGCATTTGTTGTGATAAATTGAAAGAGTATGTGACGCAGATCCAAGAGTGACCTTTGCCTGTGACTGGGTTTGGGACGTGAGCATTTTTTTAAGACAGGATGTCAACTATGGAACATTTTGTGAACCGTCCTCAGTTCCGACAGCACCGGTAAAATTCTGACATCGTTGTCCAGGGCGATAACGGGTGCTTCATTTCCTGCTTTGGAACTCTTTCAGTCATAAGCCCCTCCCTCGATGTCCCCCAGGCCCGCAGCCAAAGCCTAAATGGGAACGATACTCATGCACATTCATGTGGACTGAAGCTCTCATTTGCCAAGTGGAGAGAATTTGAATTTGGACTGCTTTCTTCTTCCTTTTCCTCCCTAGTTTTCCTCCCACCAGGGAGCCTGGGGAGCATGCCAGTCTCTAGTGACAAATGTCAATGATGGGTAGGCCTTGAACTTCAGCATCTGTAATCTGGAGGTCAAACTGGGCCAAAGGCCAAGGGGTCAGGAGGCACACAGGCTCCCAAAAATGTGCTTGGACATCAGCATGGGGTACGAGGTTTCTAAACAATCCTTAGAAGCTATGGGCTAGAGGAGCCATACAAATGATTATCAGAAAGAGTACCTTTTCTGTCTCCTTGTTTATTGGGAACTTCAAAGAAAATGAATAGAGATTGATTGATCCACCCAAACAATTCCTGATACCGAATCACAATGTACTTGAGAATTCTGGGTGATAAGGCTCAGCAGTTAAGCCCATAGTCAAAGGCATCAGGGTGGTTCTGAAAATAGAGATTCAAGAAGCCCAGGAAAATGTTCTTGTCTGTGAGAAGAGCGCACACTGCGGGGTCCCGCTTCATCGCTTCTATCCAGAGCCGAAGCGCCGGGGTGTGGCTCACGCAGCTGCAGGACAGGAAAGAAGCGTTAGCTCACCTGAGGAGGAAGGCGACAGGAAAAGGGGCGCGCATCGCTTTGGAGATGTACAAGATGCAAACAATGGGTTTCTTAGGATAATGACGTTATCTTAGTTACCTTGTTATCAACTGAGCATGATTACTGACTAAAGGAAAATCTTATTTTTGGTATACCAGTGTGTGCTTTTGAATTGTATAAGTTGCTATTGATTTCAATGATACAGTTAAAATACTTGTGGGCTGCTTGCTCTGGAGAAATAAGGTGCCTATACCTCACTGTTTACCAACAAAACGACAACCTGTCTCAACCAGAAAGAGACAGTCTTCTGTCATTCTCGGATTTTGCTTTATTAGGTTTGAAAAAAACAAAAACTAGCCATTCCCAAACTTTTTTTTAATGAGTAAAACAATCACCAAACTTTGAAATAATGGAGCTGCTTGGGCTTCATTATTTCTCAGATAGATCAGGAAGTTTAGGTCTAGAATACCCCAAGCAACTTGTTCAAGATACTACAACTGGTTAGTGGGAAATCCAGGAGCAGAGGTTGAGGGTTCCCAATCTGTGGCTCAGTACTCTGTGCTCAGAGGAGACAGGTTTTCATGATGTTTATGTTGAGACAGAGTTCAAAATATCTAAATATGTTAAATCTGATCTTCCCTCCGAGACAGCCAAAGTGGGAAGTGCAGACGACTCCTGGGTAGATTCAAGCCTGTGTGCCTGACAAGGGTTCAGATGCAGTTCTGGCCAGGCAGGTCCAGATTCCCAAATGCCGGAATTGTCCAACACCCACCATGCGGTGGGCTGGGATTAGAACAGAGGTCAACATGTGTCCTCTCAGCACTGCGACAGCAAAGCATGTGTTCTGCCCAGAGCCCCCACATGGTCCCCCGAGTCGCCCAGGCACTTTCTTCTACTTTAAATATCCCTACGCTTCATGGTAGCCATTTCATTTGTTTGCTTTAACATCAAGCATCTATTGCTTTTAAGATGGCTTATTAAAAAAAATATTCCTGTCCGGGGAAGATTCCTCAGAACTAAGGTATGGTGTCCACTGTGAGGACTCAGCAGGTCTAGGTGCAGGGCCACCAAGGGAGCTGCAGAGAAGTCACCAAAACCCTGTGGCTGGGACTCACTGACTGCTTCCACCACTGGCCTGAGTCTGGTTAGGCTGGTGAGGACAGTGACTCCAAAGTACTACAGGAGGCTTTTGGACACAGGATCTTACTAGCAGAAATATGGGGAAAGTTTGGGTCCACAGACAGTAGAAGAAGAGCAGAGATGCATTTTGAACAAGGAAACAGTTTAAAACCTGATTTCATTTCACAGGCATCATGAACACACATCTGAAGGAGGATAAATAGCACAAAACCATTTCAACCACTGTTACCCAGTCTGACCCCAGGAATTCGTGACCACGTGGTCAAATGTCTTACTCAGCTATTCCATATACATCCAGTCGCTCAAACCAGGGCCAAAAGAGGTAATCAATCATGGATATACAGGGTCCACCAAAGAAGACAGTGTTCTGATAGCTAAGAATCTAAAAGTTTAAACAGAACAAAAGCAAGTTAATTTACTGATCTGCCGACAGAGTTATAGACACTAAATACAAATATCAAATTAGGCTCACAAAGGGAGAACTTAAACTTTGATTCTCCTCCTGATTTGTTAGATAAGTGCTTTTCTCTCTTTTCCTCAGGTATCCGCCACTTTCTTTAGGGTAATACTCCTGGCCACACTCACTCAGTCCCCTCCTTCTTTGAACATGGGAAGTAACGTAGGTCACCTCATTGGAGAAGTTGGGAGGACAACCCAGGTAGAGGAAGCCCAGCCCGTCCGCCTTAGCCTGGAGCAGGCTTCTCTGGGTGCTAAGCTCTCCGTGGAGCAACTCAGCCCCTGGAGAGGGGAGGGCTTGTCTCAGGCTGGTGCTGCCCATTACCGGGACAGAGGAGGGCCACAGTTGGGAACCCTGCTTGTTACAGTTGTGACCCCCATTCTCCACGATCCATTTTATCTGTAATAAAGGAGATGCTGTCTCCATGTGCCTTCCTCTTTTGCCTTTTTTCTCAATCATTAAAAACTAAGGCAGGAAAGAACAGTGCTATTTAATGGACTCCTTTTAATCCCAATACTGTCTTTCTATTATATTTTTTTTTATTTGAGCTTTTCACCTCAACTTTTGGCCACTCAACATTATCAATCTTTTTTAAAATCCTCACCCAAGGGTATTTTTTTTTATAACTGATTTGAGAGAGAGAAGCATTGATATGAGAGAGAAGCATCAGTCAGTTGCTGCCCATACACACACTGACCAAGGATCGAATCCACAAGCTGTGCATGGTGCCCTGACTGGGAATCAAACCCACATTTGGTGTAAAGGATAATGCTCCAACCAATTGACCCACCCAGCCAGGGCTCAATGTTATCATTAAAATAAAATTTCTCATTCTCACATGGGACAAATCAACCCAGATAGAAAACAAACTCTTAACAGACAGATAACCAAAGACAAAAAAAAGGATTTGAAAATTTGCAAAGCAAGTTCTTAGGAGAGATTATCGTTGGGCCAGTCCCTCCCAAAGAGAAAGGTATGGTGTCAATTACCTAGTTAAATTAATAGGATGGCTCTCTTTGACCCATATAACTTGAAATCAACTAAATACTTTCCTATATCTATAGATGGAGATTTCTATACCCTTAATCTAGATTTCCATATTCCTATCATTATCAATCAGGCTTGATTCTTTGTACTCTAGACCAGCTGTTGACCCTATGATGTAGCCTAGGGCTGTAGTTAAAGAAGGTAAGTTCTGGAGCCAGCAGACTTGTCCTGTGCTGGGCTCTACCTCCAATTCAACATGGAACCCAAGGCAACTTACGTACCTCTTCTTCCAAGCCTCAATTTTCTCATCTCCAAAGGGGTGGTAATGTTAGTGCCCACCATGCATGAATAAAAGTGAGCTCTTATGATGACAAAGCATAGAAACCTCAGAAGGTTACATCTATAGAAAGTAAATCCACCCCTAATATAAAGCATCAATGGGATCCCACCGTCCTTCTCAGAGGAAAAAGCAAATTTTGTGGCCCTAAATTCTAAGTCTTCATTATCTCCCAGTACAGCATAGAAAAGTTCCCCTAACTGGTGTCCTGAAAGTGTGAGAAAATGTGAGGTGGCATCACTTTGTTCAAAGAAACTAACAGGATAGTCCAAAACCATCAGAATCTGGCTAATAAAAACTCAAAACAGAAGCTATTTTTAGCCATGTATAAATAAGACCTGGTTTCAGGGTAAAGGAACAAAGGATTCCAGAAAGGCTCAAGCCTTCCTTATGTTCAGGAATAAAAGTAGTAACTACCCAAACTTTTATCACTGACTTTGAAATGTATACCTCCAGCTTGTTTCTGGCTTTCATGGCACAAATCAGAACCAAATCTACAGAGACTGACTCTGGACTCTCTGTATAACTCTTCTCCTTCCCAAAGCAGAGGTACTGTGCTTTTGGGAAAATCTTTATCAAAACAAATCATATGGAGACATTTAATGGAACCCATGATGGGCCCCTCAGTAAAGTAATAAGCTATTTTGAAAATGAATAACTGCTTAGTAATTGATGTTTATTTAGTATATGTTTTCAAAGCTTTTCATCTACTCAAACTGGAAGTATGCCTTTAAAATATATGTGATCTTATAGATATGATCAATCTGTATATAAACACTTGTAAAGTAATTCAAGCTCTGTCAAGTTATTTTGTATAATAAAAAGTCAAAACAAGCACCTGGATGAATGGAAGAGGCAGCAATTATCTTCTGCCAGCTTCTACCCCACCTCCCAAATACATATACACATTCCCTGGCACTTTCCTTAAATTCAAGTGTGACTTAGGACCCCTCGCATGAAAATCCTTGAAGTTCCTGCTTCAGCTGCAAACTTGAGCCCTGCCTCAGACAGACATTTCTCCACCAGATTTCTCACCAGGCAAGTCTAAAACTCCCAACAGACTGTCTGTCTTCCTATGGACAAGCACAAAGCGCCAGCTCCTTTACAGACATAGCCCAGTGATGCAGAACATGCTGGCCAGGCCTCCTCAGAGCGTTACTGAGGTCTTAGGACCCTCAGTAGGAGAGCTCCCTTCAGTGCAAACCTGATAACTTCCAAACGCGTGAAGTAACCTTTCCCTTTCGAATCACAGAGCATCACACTGGAAGGGCCCCTGGAATTCATCCGGTGTGACCCCCGCCATCCATGTTACCATGCTCGTCACACACAAGAGATTACAGGTACAGTGTAAAAGAAGTGTACAACAAAATATTAAATATGAAAAATAATAAAATGCTAAGATCGGGGAAACTAAAAGTTAGAACGGAAGGTCAAAACCTCTTCTTGGACCGTCAATTACACTATTGCCAAGGAAGGAAAAACGGTATCAAGATATCAAGCCAGGAGTCCTACAGGGTTCCTTAAAGCTTTGAATTTGACTTGAGTTTCCTGGCAGCCGAAGTGGAGAGGAAAAGACACTGGAAAGCCGATTCTTGTCTCTCACATGGAAGCACAAGAGACTCTTTCAGGGCAGGAAACTCAGTCCCAGGGAGGAAAAGGGACCCCCTGCCAGAACTAAGACGAAAACACTGTTCTCCTCATTTTTAAACGTGGTCAATCCTAGTGTCATTCAACTACACAGACAGGAATGTATGAGGACTCTAATCACAGAAGCTTCCTCAAGTCTCCTGTGAATTCTTTGCTGGTCTTTAAATTTAAGTGACAGCGAAAAGCTTCGAATCAGCAGATTCTGAAAGCCTCTCCTCCTCTCCAGCCAAGGAATGGCCCAGCTCAGCCTCCCGGTGCGAAGTTCCTCCTCACTGCTGCTCTTTCTCGCACTCTCTCAATCAAGAGCACCTAACAGACAGGCGGGTGAGACACGCCAACATCCTCCTGGTGGGAGAGCTTGCCAAGATTCTCTCCTTCCTGTCTTACTCCATTGATAAGAAGGTCTTCAGGCAACATCACTCAAATAGTTCTGCATTCTCAGTTTAAACTAGTCCCTTGCTTAAAGCCAATTAGCACCCCTGACAATTTTTAGGATTGTCAGAGGTAAAAGAAACTGGCAGACTTAATTTCCAATGCCTTAGCTTTCCTACATGTTTTGTCATCAGAAAGGGAATGGGAAGCTGCTGCTGCTGCTATACCTGAAGTTATACCATATACCTTAGCAGTGGTTATGTTAATATTCAATGTCATTTTTAATTTTATTTTTTATTTATTGATTTGAGAGAGAGGAAGAGAGAGAGAGAGAGAGAGATCAGTTTGTTGTTCCACTTATTTATGCACTCACTGGTTGCTTCCTGTATGTGCCCTGACCTGAGATCAAACCCACAACCTTAGTGTATCAAGATGACACTCTAACCAACTGAGCTACCCAGCACTAAGGTCATTTTTCAAAACTCTATTTTAAAGTTTAAAACTTTCAGAGCTGATGTCCTTGGTATCACCACACAAGGCAAAAGCGCCTGCTTAGAGAAGACATCGCTGCTCTTCCCAGGCCCCAGACCTCCCGCACAAGGCCACCAATAGGCAGGCATCTGAGGCTCTGGCTTCTTGTCCTTGGGCTTCCCTAAAGTATTAACACATCTCCAATTCAGGGGATAACCAGTTGATGTTCTGGAATAATAGAAAATATATTTTAAAAATTTTCTATTCTCCAGGTCACTGAAAAATGACTAGAGAGGGGTCCCTTGCTTTTGGATGTGATAAGGGATAAAGAGTGAGCAAGCAAATGAAGAAGATGGGGCTGTCTAGTTTGACGAGTGTGCATTTAACCACACCCCCTTAAGGTGAAAACCCCTTCAGGAAGGTTCCCTCATCCTCTGGGAAGACCTCTCGGTTGCCTCTCATGCACCCCCTTCTGGGGGTCTGGTCTGCAACCCAGGCATGTGCCCTGACTGGGAATTGAATCGGCGACCGTTTGGTTTGCAGGTTGGCTCCCTCAAGGGGACGGAAAGGAGGTTCGCTCTGGGGCGCAAGTGGAAGGAAAAAGCGCGCGGGGCTCCCCCTCGTGGCCATCAGTGGCGAGGCGCACGAACCTCGGTCCCGCCGGTGGTTCACCAGGGAGGAGAAAATCTGTAAGGTTTGGGCGGATATCATAAAGAGAAGCGAATCCCAACCATACTCAAGCAAGGCATTCTAAAAAGTTCAGTCTACAGTCCTGGACTCTCGCATTCGGCTTCAATAATTGCCTGCCCTGCACCACCATCTTTTCACTACTGCCAAGAAATCCCCCGGCTTCTAACAAGGACACACAGCATAGTGGCTCACAGCAGGCGCTGCTGCCTGGGCTGGCAGAGAAAGAAAGCGGTTTTCCTTGATGGAAATAGTTCTTCAGAAGCTGAGCTTCCTCCCCCCTACCCTCAAAAGACACAAAGCCATCTGCCAATAAATCAGCAAGTCGGGCCCTTATCCAAAAGCAACAGTAAAGTACTTCAGAACAGAAGTCTTTTGAGTTCGTAAAACTCAATAAGGGAGTATTCTCAAGATTTTGAATTTCAGCTCCCTGCTACACGGATACACAGCGGAGACTAAGCTAATGACAGTGGGCCAATTCCCTGTAAACCAAACCAAGGGAAAGGAACAGAGTACAAATGAAATCGTTTCTTCTCTAGAAAGAAGCTTTGGAAGTAGTGTCTGGTAGAACATGCCCCATCCTGCTCTTCATCACTTAGGGCCTACAGTCCCCTAGATTCAGAATGCATCTTGCTGACATTTGGAGATTAAAAGGCCATTCAGAAAATTCTTTCCTGGAATCCTTTCAATGGGCTTAATTCTTTGTCAAAATAGATTTGTGAAATAGTGGGGGGCGGGAGGGGATGGCGGAGCTAGTAGAGTGGTGCTCAACAAGTCAAACATCTTTAAAGTGACAGATGGTGGATGAAAAGATGAATGAATATTTGTCAAATCTCTGAAGGGGGAAAGGGCTTCCTATGTATAAAAACAGTGGAAGAAAAATCAAAACAGCAAAGACTTACGGAGCAGTATTTTTAATGTTATATTTTTATATGTACCAAAAAGGTAAGCCAAATTAAAAGTTGTAACAAAAGATAACAAAAGTTAAAAACAGGCAAATATCCTTTATATGTAAGAAATTTTTTTAAAAAGATTTTTATTTATGTATTTTTAGAGAGAGGAGGGAAAGGAGTGAGAAAGAGAGAGAGAGAAACATCAATGTGTGGTTGCCTCTCATGCACCCCCTCTGGGGTCTGGTCTGCAACCCAGGCACGTGCCCTGACTGGGAATTGAATCGGCGACTGTTTGGTTTGCAGGTTGGCACTCAATCCACTGAGCCACAATAGCACTCAATCCACTGAGCCACAATAGCCAGGGCTGTGTGTGTGTGTGTGTGTGTGTGTGTGTGTGTGTGTGTGTGTGTGTGTGTGTGTGTGTGTGTATTTTATATATATATATATATATATGAAACTCTTTAAAAGGAACTTTTACAATCAGTAAGGAAAATCAGTGAGACCCTGACAGACAGATGGCTAACAAACCATTTTCTCAAAAAGAACACCAAGAGACAGCATACTTTGGGGCAAATATCCCACTTCACCAGCAATCAAATAAATACACATTATATCAACAATGAGAAACTACTCTTCCTCTCCAAAACAGACACATATCTTTTTAAATGAAATTTGCCAATAGTGATAAGGGGATAGAGCAAAGGGCATTTTCTTATACTGCTAGTGGGGGTAAACATCACAAGTCTTTGGGGAAGGATGTATCAACATACAGCTACAGCCTATGCAGTGTTTGTGCCCTTTTATCTGGTAATTCCTGGAGCTCCCACCGAAATACATTTTCTAAAATAGAGAAAACATTTCTTATGCAAAGCAGCTGCTGTTCCCTGTAGCATCACTCATGATGGTAAAAGGTGCTGGATAAATAACTATAATGTTTATACACATGACAAATTATAGAGAATGAAAAGTTGCGGGGGTTTTTTCCATTAAAAATATGCTCTTCCCCATAAGTGTCCTGAGGTGACCTCTAAAAATGGGTCACTATTCACTTGACCCGGAAAACCCCATAAAATCATACAAATCAAAAGGTTCAAATCTTCATGTTCACTCTAAGACCACTAGTGAAACTGCCCAGGCATATCAGAAAAGCCACCGAGGATCTGAAGGATGTCACTTTCCAGAAGCAATGGCTGCCCTTCTGTCATTACAACAGTGGAGTAGGTAGGTGTGCCCAGGCTAAACAGTGGGGCTGGACACAGGGACGGTGGCCCAAAAAGGGTGTTGAATTTTTGCTGCAAGTGCTTTAAAATGCAGAGAGTAATGCTGAACTTAAGGGATGTACATTCTCTGGTCATTGAGCACATGCAGGTGAATAAAGCTCCCAAGACACGGCGCAGAACTTACAGAGCTCCTGGGCGGGTTAGCCCACATGTGAGCTCTCTCTGCCACACTGAGATGATCCTTCCTGAAAAAGAGCAGACTGTTCCTAAACCAGAAGAGGAGGCTGCGCAGAAGAAAAAGATATCCCAGAAGAAACAAAAACTTATGGCCTGGGAGTAAATTCAGCATAAAATAAATGCTAATAAAAGTTTTTAAAAAAATACACATGTAATAGGGAAATACATTCTCATTATTTGGAAAAAAAATTGAAACACAGAAAACAGTATGAAAGGCCAATGAGATTTAAGTAGTCGTTGGGATTTAAGTAGACATTAAGTAGTCATTTATAGGAGCATGGCCTTTTGCCATTTTTTTTCCTTTTTGTTCTCCTTTCTGCAATTTGGAACTTGGATGTGAAGGCTGCAGTTTCAGCAGCTATCTTGTCGTTTTGAGGATGAGAGCCGTGCACTAAAGATAACAGAGAAGAAAGAGTGAAGGAGTCTCAGTCCCTGGTAATTTCATGAGGAAGCCATCAAAATAGACCCGAACTGCCCCTACCTCTGGCTTTTGTGAAAGAATAAACCATTATAAGATTAAATTTATAGCAGTTAGGTCTCCTTTTCTATCAACCTAACACAATCCCTAACCAATGTAGACCCAGACCTCAGTGGCCAAGGCTATCGAAGCCATGCAGAGCTACTTAAGGTATATGGTGACTCTGAGAAAGGAAGAAATTCATCACATGCCCTCCCTGACTCCCTTGCCAGATTTTCAAGAATAATTCCAGAGTGGGATGGTAGAGAGCAAGCACCTACAAGTTACAATCAGATGACTAGTAGCTGAACTTATCAAAGTCAGGCAGAAAGAATAAGTCTGTGAAAGCAGAGGGTGGCAGGGTGACCAGGTTAGTGACCCTACATCTCTCCCCTTCCACTGGATCTAAACAGGAGAGGGGCCCCTTATTGTACCTCTTCAAGGTTGCAGAATTCCTCACGAAGGGCTAGCTTCAGATTAGCGCATTCTTTTCCGCATCTCAGTGCTACCAGACACTCCTTGGTCAAGTGTGGGATCTAATCAGAGGACACAGGTTTCTTATTGGAGAAATCTAAAGGAACTCCATGTTCCTGCTCTGCCTAAAAATATAGCCGAAGCTTTGTTACTGCAGTTTAACAGGCCAACAGACACACCCGGGCTCCCCAGCTCCCTCCAAGGAGCATCTTTGTGGTCCCAGGAACCCATGGGGTCACAGCACCTAGGCGAAACAAGGCACTTTCAGAAATGGCTCTTGAGTGCTTCCTCCTCGATCAGCAACTTCCATGCTGTACAATCTTAGGCAGGCATTTAACCTCTCTAAGCCTCAGAGTTCTCATCTGGAAAATGGATACAGTAATGGTGCCCACCTTGAAGGACAGTTTTAAGGGGTACATGAGTTAACCTGTATAAGGTAGTTAGGATAGGGCTTGGCACATCACAAGTGTTCAACATATATCAGTTATTCTTATCTCATTTCAAAGAGAACTATCTTAAGAGTTTCTCCATGATTATTTTCCTGTTTTTAGCAGATGCCCCCTCTTCTCTTTTCTTCATATTTCCAGGACAGTTGGCACTTTTGTTTTGCATAAAGAGCAATCCCCTTCCATGCATTAATGCCTTTTTATACCCCAATATTTTTGTATCTGAAACCTTAGAAATATTTCCTTTAAAGCATTGCCACTTTTCAGCTCTTTCAATATTCTTAAGTCATAACTATGCCATAATCATACCTCTTGAGACTCCCAGATCAAATGGCAAAGCACCTCTCAGTGAAGCCTTTAATTTTTAATATCAGAGGTGAGAGTTCTACTATAATTGCACACCAGCTCTTGTCCTAATCCACATGTAATATCAAAACAAAACAATTTCCCCAATGATTTGGCTTTAAAATTGAAGTGTTGAAAAGACGTAGAAAGTAAAAAAGAGTGTAAATGGCTTTTTCAAAAATTGAACATACCTTATAGAATAGCTCCAATAACATCTTTTGGCGGGCTCGCTCATAAGGGTCAAATGGATACAGCTTCCTTCCCGGATAGGCATCATCCAGGTACTCACAAGCAATCACAGATTCATAGATCAGCTGACATTTGCTGTTTTCCAGGACCGGAATTTGCCCAAAAGGGTGCTTTGTATAGTACCAGTCAGGCTTGTTTCTCAGGTTAATGTTGATAACTTCATGTCTTAAGAAGCAAAGGGAAATATAAGACAACAAAAGTGAGAGGCTTACACAAGCAGACACTCACATTGAAAGCAGAAGTAATCAATTCATAAAATTTAAATTTGTGATATGTTTTTTAAAGCTTAGGTCTTTTACAAAGAAAAATATACAACAACATCATTGTCTTCTTTCCTATAGTAAGATGTATTAAAAGTTTTCTATGCCTTGCCTCATTTGCTTTTTGTGATTCCCAATTCTAGGAGATTAAATTGGCCCAACATTACCTTCGTTAAGGAGCAGAGCCAAGATTGGAGTCCAAGAATCTGACTCAGAGCTCACCATGCTTAACCACCACACTGTCGAGTTTCATCCATTTTAAAGTTTAAAAATATGAATCTGCTATGAGCAGGTCGCAACAGAACATGGTAAGGGTCAGCAGTTACAAGTACAGGCTCTGACATCAGACTCTGTGGAGTCTGGACAGCCTAGCTTGTGACCTTGGCTGAATTCCTTAACCTCTCTATGCTCCTTAATTGTAAAGTGGGGGTGATAAGTATACTCATGACTTTGGATCATTGTGAGGATCAAATGAATAAATATGTATAAAAGGAAACAAATGAGAATAATCTTTGCTCAGTTAAGGAGATTGTCTTTAACCCTAAAGCAGCGGTTCTCAGCTGGGAGTAACCTTACCCCATTCCCCAGGGGCATATGGCAATGCCTGGAGACATTTTTTGGTTGTTACAGCTGGGGAAGAGGGGATTCAACTGCCATCTAATGGGCAGAGGCCAGGGATGTTGCTAAACATTAGTTCATAAACTGCCAGTTTGTCGCTATGGACAAACCATCAAGCTATTGTCATTTCAAATAGGAAAAATAACAATAGGGCCAAGTAAAATGGAGAAATAGGGAAGAAGCTGGAAATATATGCTATATACTATCCTGAACAAAGTAGAATTACAGAATTTTATTTAAAATGTCTCTATATTAGTCTCTGCATTTCTCTGACATGAATCTGAAACTCTGAAGTCATCCCCTAATGATGGACTCTCCAAGACAAGAGTCAAAAGCCTGGAGTAACACATTCTCAACATTTTCTTTTAGCTTCGAGGCCAGTTGCAGCATGAGCCCCCCGCATTCCAGCAAAGGTGCTCTGTCTCCAAATCCAGACCTACAGGATTTAGTCTTGTGAAATCCCTCCTGAGAAGATATGTGTCCATTCCCTCAGGTATGTTGGAATCTTCAAGATCTCTCTTGATAACAGTTCCTTCTATTTCATTGTTTGGAACTATATTTGTTCATTCATTCAAAAAATATTTTTAAGCACCTACTATGGGCCAGGCTCTCTCTAGCCCAGGAATAAAAGACCCCTCAACAACTTACATTTAGGGGGAAAAGAGGTCGAGGAAAGAGAGATAAACAAATAGGCTGGACACAGTGTACGCACAATGAGATAGGGAACACAGTAGATCTAAAGCGGGTGGGGGAGCTGTGTGAGCGCAGGCCTGGACTGTGCCCTTCCTTCATCAGCATTGGGGGGGGGGGGCGGGTGCGGGGGACAAGCTCATCGAAGCCATCATTCAGTTTACTCTGAGTTGTCCTGTGTCCTGCACAGACACGACTCTGCATTTCAGGACCGCCCGCTGAAGAACCTGCCCTTTGCTAACCATTTATTGACTTTGCCTCAAAAGAAAAGGACAGGGAGCTCCAGATTTTAAACATCCACGGGATGTGCCCTGGCTGGTGTGACTCAGTGGATTGGGCGCTGGTCTGCGATAGGGGCTGGGGAGGGGTGTCGGTTGACGGCTGCTGAGGAGGGCTGGGGGCCGGGTGGGGAGGGGTGGGGGCGCGGTGGCTGGTTCGATTCCAGGTTGGGGCACATTACTCGGTTGTGGATGGTCCCAGATAGGGGACGGCCAGGCGAGAGGCAACCACACATTGATATTTCTCTCTCTTTCTCCCTCCCTTCCCCTCTCTCTAAAAAAATAAATTTAAAAAAATAAAAAATAAATATCCCCTGGGTGCCTGTAAGGTGCTTAACTTCCATTTCTCACCTGATGCCTTTGGCCCAGAGGACCAAGCGCGTCCTGTGTGCATAAGGACAGAACCTCATGCTGTAGATTCGGATCAGGCCCTCTGGGACCGGCCCTGGGGGGTGACTTCCTGCGGAGGGGGAGGGGGTACCAAGAGGTGGATTAGCCCAGTGGGAAGAGGGGCTCACTCGCCACCCTGAGACCCCAAGAGGGCTGCACGCGCTCCGCCTCCGGAGTCCCAGAGAGGACTGCTGCACGTGGCTTTTGTGCAGAGGAACCCTTCAAGCCCCGCTCGCCTCCCCCCCGCCCCCCGCCCCCGCCCACAGGCCCCCATCGTGCTGGTCTGGGGGCCAAGGCCCGGCGCCTCCATGCCGTGTTCGGCCGTCGAGAAAACTCACCTTTCCCCAAGGCCCTGCTAGCATCCTCAGCCATCGTCTCCAGGTGTCTGCGCAGCGCCCAGCGTTCTCAGCCTGGGGCTCGCCACCGCAGCGGGCTCAAAGGACAGCTATGCTCCGGCGCACCGCTCCTGCCCAAATTCAGTGTTTGAGTGAAGGGACTCTGGCGGGGCAGAGGGGAGGTGATCTGGAACGCGAGCTACGCAGGATAACTTAATCTGGAAAGACCTCGCCCCAGACTTGGAAGCCAAAGTTGGAGTGGGCAAAACAAAACAAAACAAAACAAAAACTCCTGGAAAGTACCCTTTGCTTTTAACACGTGGATACAGCATTTGGTGGGGTCTCTTTTCCACATCAAGAATCTGTGAAGAATGGATATTTAAACTCCAGCATGTATTTTAAGGGAGTTTAATAAAAATTGACCCGAATAATGCAAACGTTGTCTTTCCCAGTCTAAGCCTTCCCTCCTGCATCTCTAAGACAATTGGCCACATTGTCTGTATAATGAATACTTAAAAAAATAAAGCCAAACTTTCTCATGATATAGTAGATAAGAAAAAAAACTTGTTAGTGTTGAGATGTTGCACGCCCCTGAGAGTGTCTCCTTAAATTTTGTGCTCTAGACACCTCGCTGGCCTCACCCTAGTCCCACCCTTATTTGTGAGATTGTACCCAAGCTACGAAAAACTGGTAATGAATTAGACACAAGATACCTAATGGCAAAGAAAAATTTGTGGGCTCTCCCTATCCCCCAGCATAAATTTCAGAGAAGACCCTTTGTAACAGCTAAGAACACTTTGTCAACAGCCCAGCAATACAGGGGTCGCTTGGAGAGAACTTTCACCTGCATGAGGTAACAGAGATAGCCAGCCTTCACTCTGCCCTAAGAAGCTGAGGTCCTGAAATTTAACAGGTGGAAAGATAATCCTTTGATTTTGCAGGACTAAGCTGAAATAGGAATTACTTATAAATGCATTTATGTGGTTGACAGGTAAAGAAGGAAAGAAAAGTAGTATAATGTTCACTCACACGTACTAAATGATTTCTATGTATTACCTTATTGGATTCCCACGACTACTCAGTTAGGCAACTATTATTATTCCTATTTTACAACACAGAAAATATCCTCTATGAATATGAAATTATTTTCCCAGAGTGACCAGCTAGTCGGGTTGAAGAGCTTTAATTAAAAGTACAAAGCCTGACTCATTGTGTTGGCCTTGAAAGCTGATAACCATGTGGAGGGGAAAGGATATAAATCCTGGAAAAAAATATAGCACATTATTGCTGCTAAATAAATGTTAGCTGAATCTCAATATCTTTTATTAAAATGACAGAACCTAATTATGTAGCTTATGAACAGCCACTTTTGTCCTTTGGAATTCCAATCTATCCAGAAATTCTTGGTTAATAATGTTAACATTTTTCTTCTACTGAATAGGAATCTTTGAAAGTTTTCAGAATAGTGACTCAACTACATTTTTTGCTTAGTCATTCAGAGAGATTTCACGTAATACATCACAAGTTGCTGTTGACTTACAAGAATTGGGGAGTAGCAAAAATGTTTTAATAAATTTTCCCTGGAAAGAAAATGCATATATGTCAGCAATTTTGCATATTGGAAGATAAATAGGATAACTACTATTCTGAAACTAACTTTAATCAAGAAGGACAAACTGAATGGTGAATAGAAGCAACAAACATAACCATGATATATGAGACCTTCTGGTAGACAAGAAAATGACTTGTGGGCAGACAAATGTATCCCTCATGTAAAGAAAGCAGATGTCAAATAGCTGAGTGAAAATATATCCAGATCCTAAAAGAGGAATATGAAATTCTCAAAATCACAATCAGTTATTAGTAACATGTATTTGGTACTTTATGTGTATTCACTTCTTTAATACTGAAAGTAGTCCTATAAAGGTTCTGTTATTATTTATTTTAAAAGATGAGTAAACTGAGGCTAGCAAGGTTAAGTCACAACTAGTAAGAACGTGGAGAGAGGATTATGAAGTTTGATTCCCAGGCAAGCACTCCAAACAGGATCTTAGTCTGTACCAGAGATAGGCAGGTTTTTTCTGTCAAAACAGTAAATATCTTAGGCTTTTTGAGTCATCCTGCCTCATACACTCAACTCAACCTTTATAGGGTGAAAGCAGCCATAGATAATATATAAATGAATGGGTTTCTCTGTGTTCCAAGAAAACACTATTTATGGAGTCTGGATTTGAATTTCATATGTATATATGTAGGTTCACAGTTGAAATTCAAATGAATAATACAACAAATAACACATAATAATATAAGAATAAACTCTGCGTTTTGTGTACTCACAACTGTAAATCTACTTTTTCCAACCCCCGCATTTTAACAGACTTTATTTTTAGAGCAGTTTTAGATTCACAGCAAAACCAAGCAGGAGAGAGATTTTCTATCCCACAAATGCATGGCCTCCCCCACCAACTACATCCTGCATCATTTACATTTCTAACAATTGATGAACCTACACTGACACTTCATTATCAAAGTTCATAGTTTACATTAAGGTTCACTCTTGGTGAAGTCCATATAATTTTCATGTGTCACAAATTATGATTCTTTTCTTGATTTTTTTCAACCACTTAAAAATGTAAAAACTGTCCTTAGCTCTTACACTATACAAAAACCAGCAGAGGCCTGGACTTGGCTCTCTGGCCTGACTTTGCCCATTCCTGGAGTATACTGATAATGAATGAATTATTAATAGCCAAACTGGGAATTCCACTTATAAAGTAAAAGTTCCAGCTTTCACTATGCTAGAGAGAACATATTTCCAAGTATTTTTCTTTCTCATTCACACCTTTTAAAGGAAACCAACTCTGAGAGCTGGGAAATGATGTTTATTATATCTATGTATGGGGAGTCACATTCTGAAATGCAAGTCTATTTGATATAGTTAGAGAATAGATAAAAGAATGCAAACAGTTGTTCCTCTGAAGGAAAGCAATATAATGTCAAGGTTCTCAGTTGGCACTATATTCAAACCCTGGCTTTGACACTTAGACAAGCTGTCTCTCACCTCATGGATCCTCATCTTATTCACCTGTAAAATGAGAATACAAATACCTTTTTGATGGGTTTTGAATAATGAAAGAAGTCATGCAGGCCATCCTCAGTATAGAAAAAACTCAAAATTAATGACTAATACTAGTAAATAAGAACACATTTTAAATAGCACAGTGCCTTCCAATTTTGTATTCATAAAAATGAAATGCACTGCAATTCAGCTTTGCAAGGCATATTAGAATTAGAATTCAACTCAGAATATTTATTTTACCAGTTACCAGTTAAATGCCAGTAGAATAGGGGTTGAATGCTGGAAGCTACATTTCAGTAATGTGGTTTTTAATCTTACCAATGAACACCATGTTTTCCCTGGAAAGACTAGCATTATGCCCTTTGAGCTTATCCCTACTTCCTTTTTAAGACCCAATAAGTACCTCTTGGAAATCCTCTTTGCAAATTTTCCTTCAATGTTATTATATCATACTTACACGTCTATTACACTGACTCACTCAAGCAAGAAACAAATGGCAACAAGGCTATATTAAACCTACTCCAAATCGGTTTTCAGCAACCTGAAATATAATCAGATCTATTTGAAAATGTGGGGGATCTTCAGTCATGGGTAATAATAACTTAAGCCTTCGAGGAAAAGAATGCCAGCAGAGAAATAATTTCCTCACTCTATTTAAATGAGTCTCTGTTTTGAGAATAGAAGTGGAGTTTGCATTTTTCAGTTTTTCAAAAAATTTTTCTCATACCTATCTCTGGTAGTGGCAGAAGCCAAAGGATAATCCTCTTAATATAAATTAAGCCTGCTTAATGTACATGAAAGATTACTGGGTGTTCAGATATTGTTCACTGAGTTCAAAGAGTGAGATAAATCAGGAAAAACGCTTTATTTTCAAATGGACTTAGAATCAGGGACTTGTTTCCAGGAAGTTAGGATCATTGGGAATCCTATGTACTAATGCTTTCGGGACTTTTTTTTTCAGTTTTGAAATATAATTGACATAAGCTCTGTATGAGTTTAATGTGCACTGTGTAATAACCTGATGCACATATACTGTGAAATGATTACCACAAGTTTAGTTAATATTCACCTCTTCATATAGTTACAAAAAATATTTTTTCCTCATGAGGGGAACTTTTTAGGATCTATTCTCTTAGCAACTCTCAAATACACCACATAGTAGTATTAACTATGGTCATCTTGTGCATTACCTCCCCAGGACTTATTTTACAATTGGAAGTTTGTACTTTTTGACCACCTTCATCCAAGTCCCTCCCCATCCCCATCCTCCACAATTCTGAGACAAATACAATAAAGATTATTGCCAACTAAAGTTGTCAAGAGGAGAAACTCCATCTTCCCACCGGGGAAAGCAGAATCAAAAGGAGGTTTTTTTAAGTACTTGATTTGGCTTTCCTACCCCTGTATCTCTTTACAGCTTAAGGGATCAAAGAAAAAAAATAAAAAACATTTCGTTATAGTAACCTCTGAATGAAAAAAAGGCAGATTTTCAAGATCCTGAAATCAGCCAAACCAAACATTTATAAAGTCAAAACAGACTGAGTTAGGAAAAGGATGGCAACACTTCCTGTTAAGTCCCAGGTATAACAGTGTGTGTCAAAATGGTGCTTTCTATCCTCTCCTGGCTCAACCTCTCTGAATGCTAGGAGCTGATAAATAAAAAGAGACTGGGGCAGAAGTATAACTAAGTTCTTACCCCAAGAGTGGTGTAAATGACTGAGTTCTGGCTGGATTTGACTTTCTTCAGCATTTAATAGCTGGATGACTTTGGGCAAATCACAGCAACTTTCTATGCCCTAGGTTTCTCATTTGTAATTCGGAGTTAATGGTACCAATACATCATCAGGTGGTTTGGGAAAGATTCATTCAGGTACTGGATGAAAGATGCTTAATACTTAGCATTTCTCTGTTACCTAGTACGCATTCAACGTTAGCTATTATTTTTATTATTATTAGAGTGCAGCAGGGTCACAAAGACATCCCCTGGGACCGAATCCCCCTGCGGCGGTGCCCTCTAACGTAGCCGGGCTAGCGGTGTACAATGCAGGGAGGAGAATTCCCTGATCTTTGGTCGTCTCTACATGTCTCCAAGCAAATCAGGAAAATAAACAATTTAATGAGGTTTTTTCCCCTTCAAATTAAAGGTATTCATTTTAAAGACATGTTCTTTAATCTTGGATTTTATAGCCCTTGTACTTCTTAGGATGTTAAATTCTTTGATGAAACTTTTATGAAGCTAAAGTAGTTGGGCTTTCTTTCGACAATATTAGGCAACATAAAACATTGACAATCCTATTCTGGGACCCGAAATTCGTGGAAGAGTCCAAAATCCAGCATTGACCTTAAATCCCTTTTCCCTTCAAATGCAAAACTGGCCGAACCAACCCGGTGCAAGTGACTGGAGAGACGCCCTCAAGCACCTCCCAACGCGCAGCAAAAGAACCGGATATAGAACGGCGGTGGAACCCGCCCCCTAGAAAGCGATCCTACCCGCAAACTGACCAAGATGCCCAGAGCTCCAGCCAATCCTAAGAGCCTTGAGAAGCACTCCAGCCAATCAGTGCCGAGCTAAGCCAAAGGGCAGCCGCCTTACAAGGGGCCTGAAAACCCGAGTAATGATTGCCCCTGGGTGTCTGTGAACAGACAGTGGCCGGCTGCGGCACCTCAGCGCGCGAGTCTACATCCAACTGAAGTCCTCCCGCAGCCGACCTGGGCGTGAAGGGTGGGGCAGGCCTACGACGGCAGAGACGAGTGCGGCCGGAGCTTGGGCATTGGTGGGCGAGGGCGGGCCGCTGGAGGGCGATTGTGAAGTCAACCGGTGTCAGCTGCGTCTCAGGGTGTGGCCCCTAGATGGCCCGCACCACCACAAGGCTGGGGGCGGAGCGGAGGGGCCTCATTTCAAATGTGGACCACCCGCCCCACCCCGTACCGACTTACTGAACCACAAATGGAGCGGTGAGACTTGGGTGATTATTAGGTGCTCTTACCTTTAAGAATGAGTACGGGAATCCAGACTTTTGGGGCCAGCAGGTCGAAGACGTGCCCCTTAATTCTGATAGTAACAACAGGGTGCTGGCTGTGTTCTCCAGGTAAATTTGTGCCAGCACTTTAAGGGCTCACTTAACCTTGGGACCTTAGTTGAATCATCTGTAGAATGAAAAGATGCTCTACGACCCACCTTCTCATGGAGGTGATGTGATGATAAAAATTAGTGAGAAGCCCAATGGGCTATGGAAGTCTATGAAAGATGGCATTAATATTTTTGAATGGGGATATCACCTATTACTCATTCAGCCTTACAAACTGCATTGAGGGAAGTGGTCTCCACAGTATTGACGTATATGGGATACCTGCTGCGTGCCCAGCATGGGATTTGGTAAGAAGCATTTGAAGGGGGCAGAGACTGGACATTGGAGACTAAATAAGAAACCAACTAGTCACCTGGCTTTGAGGTGATGTAGGTCTGGTCTTTATTGGTCAGAAAAGGAATAAAACAGGAAGTGAATTCAGTCGATGATGGAAAGAATGAAGAATTGTAAATTCTCAATTCAGAACCTCAAAGACAAACTTTATTTTTTTTTTAAAGATTTATTTATTTTTAGAGAGAAAGGAGGGCCAAAGGAAGAGAAACATCAATGTGTGGTTGCCTCTCAGCACCTCCCACTGGGGACCAACAACCAAGGCATGTGCCCTAAACAGGGAATCAAACTGGCAACCCTTTTGTTCGGAGGCCAGCACTCAATCCACTGAGCTATACCAGACAGGGCTTTTTCTTTTTGTAAAGATTTTATTTATTCAAAGACAAACTTAAGAGGCATCTCTTGAAATGACAACAGAGTATCCAAATGGAAATGTCCTACGGACAGTTAGAAATCTAGATTGAAGTCTAATCTCGCTAGAGAGGATTTGAGCATCCTAGCAGGAAATGTGGTTACATTTCTGCAGGAGGGCCTTGAGGAAATACCACAGCTGTGCTGTGATGTCAAAAAGAGAAGGTAATCCAAAGAGACATGAGAGCACTTAGTAAAATAAAAGTGTGTTACTATTCATATTAGTGAAGGAAAATATCAGACAGATCTTCACTGTTGACTCGTACCCCCATCAGAGCCCATAGTCACAGGCTTCCGGGCTGTTCTGCATGTAGAGATTTAAGAAACCCTGCAAGGTTTTCGTATCAGTGAGGAGGGCTGATGCAGTGGGATCTTTCCTCATGGCTGCCATCCATAACTTAAGTTTTGGAGTGTGGTCTACACACCTGCGGGAGACGGAAAGAATGAAGGTGTGAGCGAGACTAAATAAGGCATTGCAAAGTCTCCTGTCTGTTGTCATCATCACCCTGCAGTTTCATTTTGTTCTCCTCCAGCCTTTTAAAGTAGTTCATTAAAAAAAATTTCTTTAAAATGCATGTGATTATAGAATAAAGCATGCCTCCTTTTGTTGCGCTTCTCAAATACTGCATTTTTTACAAGTTGAAGGTTTGTGGTAACCCTGCATTGAGCAAGTCTATCCATGCAATTCCACCAAGAGCATCTGTTTGACTTCGTCTCAGTTCGTTTGAACTTTGGCCATTATTTTTTTGTTATGGAGATCTATGATCACCGATCTTTGATGTTGCTATTGCAAAACCCTTGACTAGCAAAAAGGTTACTGAAGGCTCAGATAATGGTTAGTGTTTCTTTATGCAATAAAGCATTTTTAAATTAAGGCATTTACATTTTTTTATCAGTCATAGTGCTATTGAACACTTAACAGACTACAGTATAGTGTAAACATAATTTTTATATGCACTGGGAAATCAAAATATTCATGTGACTGACTTGATTGTGATATTTGCTTTATTGGAGTGGTCTGAAACTGAACTGCAATATCTCTGAGGTATATTAGCTTTGGAAGATATTGTAGAACTTTTTGTTTTATGGAACAGGAATCTTCCAAAATGAAGCAACTTGCTCATTTGGCATTAAGACTTTTACAAATTGAGAGATTGGTAACTTTTTAAAATGAGAACAGGAAAAATAATCCATCTATGGCCAAACTGTGACTAAAAGGTGAAGGGATTAAAAAGTACATATTGCCAATTATAAAAACATTCACAGGGATATAAAGTACAGCATAGAGAATAAAGTTAGTAATGTAATAACTATGGTATGGCTACTAGATTTATTGGGATAATTACTTCATAAGTTATACAAATGCACTATCAATATGTTGTACACCTGAAACTAATATAATATTGTATGCCAACTGTAATTCACAATTACAAAACAGAGAGAGAGATCAAACTGATGGATGCCAGAGGGGAAGGGGTGAGGATGGGTGATAAAGGTGAAGGGGATTATAGTCGACAATACTGTGTAAGTTTGCACTATGACAGATGATTACTAGACTTACTGTGTTAATCACATTCTATGGTATATTAATGTCAAATCATATTGTACACCTGAAACCTAATATCGTGTACTGTAAGTGTAATAAACATTCAAACCTGTAGAGAATTTTTATGAGTTCATTTGAGCCAAACTGATGACAACTGCCAGGAGGCAAAACCTCAATGAGTTGAGAAAATGCTCCAGACAATGGCTGTTTTGCACCCTGCTTTATACATTACAATCAAAAGAGAAGATGTGAGTGGGTTACATGAAATCCACTGGTGATAGATTAGGGAAGTGGGAGAAAGCAAAGTAGGGAAACCTCTGGGATTGGATAAAAAGTAAAATGATACACACATATTTCTTTTACATAGATGGGTATAGAATAGTTAACAGTCAACAATTAACATGACAACAAAGACAATGAGGGGACTTGTGGTCTCTGGTGTGGTGCCCATGCTTTGAGGGATCTGGTAAAAGGGAAATTACTGTGTTTTTGCAAAGGTGTGTTCATCAGGTATATTATCCCAGATGCAAAAGGACAATAGACAGACTTAGTTACAGTGAAGATGACCTATGTCAGGGAAGATTCTAGCCTAGGACAGACATGACTACCTACCATAAACTGCTTTTAGTTAAAAAGTTTTCATTTCAGACCATCCTAAGTGGTTATTCCAGGTCTCTATGGTCTATAAGGCCACCACGCAGGTCTTCCCTGAGCCTGTCAGTGTTAGTATGTGGCCTCCTTTTGTTTACAATACTAACTGTACTTAAATTTTAAAAATGTTTTGATAAAAAAAATTTAAAGACCTTTTTAAAAAGAATATATATACAAAAAAGTAACTCTGAATAGCTCTAAGCTGTAAGAGGGAGTATGCCAAGGTGGCAGCCAAACTTCAAAATGTGGAGCTTGGAAACTAGTATGGGAATCTTACTGGTAAATGAGAGGTAGCATTGGTCACAACAATCCTGCATGACAGCCTTATAAAAAGGTACATCCTATGGATTAAAAATTTTTTTCAATTACAGTTGGCATTCAATATTATATTAGTTTCAGGTATACATCATAGTGCTTAGACGTTTATATAACATACAAAGTGATCCCCCAGTAAGTCTAGTACCCATCTGACACCATATACTGTTATTACAATATTACTGACTATATTCCCTATGCTGTACTTTACATCCCTGTGACTATTTTGTGACTACTAATTGTACTTCTTAATCCCTTCACCTTATTCATGTAGTTCCCCTCCCTCTAAACCTCACTTAGGAATTTTTACCCAGGAGGGAAGGAGTAAATTACCTTTAAAGCTTTTTACTACATGTCACAGAACTCCTGCCCGCCCCGCAGGGCGGATAGCAGCAGTGAGTGTAGATGTATGACATGCCCAAGCCTTTCCTCCTTGCCTGCTTTTTTCCATTCCTAACAGTTGTATAAAATATTTTAATTTTCAGAAAACAAGGTCAACATATGCTATTTCAATTATCATTATCCTAAATTATTCACATAATATTCAAAATTCTTACTCATTTAACTCCACTGCTTCCAGTCGTTCAAACCAGGGCCAGATGAAGTAATCAATCATAGAAACTGAATTGCCACCCAAGAAAGTTGTCTTCTTATTGGCCAAAACCTGGACATTAAATAGCAGAAGAGTACTTCTTATTTGTGCAGCTAGTAAGACTCATCATCTGATGATGCAGGTGAGTTACGTAATATGTGGAGAGCAGCCCTGTTTGTTTGCCTAACATAACCAAGGTCACTTTTTGTCTATTTGATCAATTTAAGCTTTAGAATCTGTTGGTTCAGGATGAAGCAAAACAATCAACAAGATAAACTGGAAAGTGGTGAAAAATATAATAAGGGCCAGAGTACAAGATTTTTGTAATACAACAAAGGACCGGTATTCAGAATATAGAAAGAACTCCTGGGAATCAAGGAAAAAGGCAAACGACCCATCAGAAAATTGGGCAAGACTTGCACTTCCCAGAAAAAGGATGTCCAAATGGACAATAAGCATTTGAAAAAGCACTGAACTACATTAGTTATCAAGGAAATGCAAATTAGAACCAAAGCATAGTAACACTAGGCATCCGTAATAGTTAAATGAACCAGAAAAAGTTAGTTAGGGTGTGGAACCACTGCTGATAGAAATGTAAACTGGTACAACCATGTTTTAACAGTATCTACTAAAACTGACTGCATGAACACGTTATAACCCAGTAATTCTACTTGGAAATGTGAACATATATTCACCAAAAGATGCATGCAAGAATGTTCACTGTAACACTCTTTCTAATAGCCCCAAAGTGGACATGTCTACTGTCCACCAGGAGTAAAAGGGATAAAAAAATTGTGGTACAGACATATGCTGGAACACTATACAAAGAATAGGAATGAACTACACACAACATAGGTGAACATCACAAACCTAATACTGTATGAAAGAAGTTAGGTCCAAAAGTGCATATTACATTATTCCATTTGTATAGAGTACAAAAAGTAGCCAAAACTGATTTCTGTTTTTTGATGTGGGAGCTGGTTCTTTGGCTATGTTCACTTCGTAAAAATTCATCAAGCTATACTCTTATGCTTTGGGTACATTGCATATAATCCTTCAATAAAACAATTTACATGAAATATAATGGAAATAATTGGATTAACTATTAAATAAAATTACTTGAAAACCAAGCACAAATAATGTTTCCAAAATTTAAGAGGGTGAATTGGTATTAGGGTTTTGTCAAAGGGGGAAACTGAGAGTATTATTTGATTAATCAACACCAACTCACCTTTTATAAAACTTTTATAACTTCAGGGCCCATATAACATTCTTCATTGTAAAATGATTCTTTAAATCTACCTGAGTATTTGGAATGTCTCAAGTCCAAGAAGAAGACTGTCTAAAGGCACAAAATGGCAGCTATTCCCCAAAGGAAGGAAAACACATCTGGGCTTTGCCAAGTATCTATATGATTTGTGGCAAACTCTGTGGTGAGAAATGTTTGTTATGTAATACTAAGTAGAAAAAAAAGAACACAATATGGTATCTATGCTCTGATTAGTTATGTTAACCATTTTTTAAAAATATATGTACAAGGACTAGAAACAGCATGGATAAACAAAATAGGTTACATAGAAATGTTAGTGAATTTCTTTTTTTCCTTGTTATTTTAACATCAATGCAACAGAATGCTTTAAAAGCAAGTTCATGACAAAATATTTTTAGGTAGTTTTGGTTTATATGTTAAACACACCACCTATGGCAATCTGTTATAAACTAAAATTTCTTATTTGGTATTATTACTAATTGCTATAAAGCAATTTGGGAAATGGGAATATGAACAAAAGAGTAGAAGGAAGAGGGTAGATGTAGTGTATTATTTACTCTGATAAAAGCTAAGAGACACATTGATTACCTCCTCAAACTTGCTGAATTCTTTACGAAGTTCTTCTTTCAGGCCAGAGCGGTCCTCCTTAGTTTTACTTCTAATAAAGCTTCCTATCAAAGATGGTACCTAGACAGAGAATAATTTCTTAGTTTATTAGTGGAAGGCTAAGTATACCAGCCTCACATAAAAACACGATAGAATCCTTATTGTCCCAAGGTCAGAGTGTTCTAGAAACTTCAAGGGTACAACCATTCCTGTTTTCACAGAGGTCATATACTTATCTTCAAAACAGTTTTGTGGCCTAAGGTGCTATATTAAACAGGATTTTATAAGTTGCAAATAACAGAACCCACTTTGGCAAGTTTGAGCCAAAAATATCTTTAAAGGACAACAAGTGACTCAGAATTGTTGGGAGGCCGAACAAATATGCTTGGAACTAAGCTGGAACATTCCCAAATCATGCTCAAACTGCCCTGATGGAAAGCACACACTGCGACCAATGAGCTCAAACTAAAGGCCGTGCCCCTGGCAGAAAAGACCTGGAGGTAACTAATGCCACTAGCACCAAAGCCGTTTCTACTCTGGAGTTTAATTTGGCAACCACCACGGCTCCTGAAAGCCAAAAGCCCTGCTCTCAGCCACTCTCACCGGCACGACCAGTTCCCTGCATCAAGCCTATTTCATCACATTGATCATTTCTGAATTGAACTCTACCATGTGTGCATCTGACAGGGGAACCTAGGTCCCAGGCCTTGGCCCCTACTGCAGAAGGTGCTAGGGAAGAGAATTTTTCTGATTTCTACCTTGAGGACATGAGAAGACTATTAAAAGAGACTGTCTACCTGAAGACCTGACAGGTGTAGTGTCCCAATGCTTGTGGTGGAGGTGTTTGTGTGTTTTGTATCATCCCGTTGCTGGAGACAGAAGTCCACTCCTCCCAGTTCAAGTAAATGGGCACTCTGAAAATGCGTGAGGCTCTCCTGAAATCCCGCTGATGTCGGTACAGCCTGTGCTCATCGGAACGGAAGGTTTGCAGGCTGCCCTTCCATCCACATTTTCTGCCTTGTCTTTCATCTTTGCTTCTCCTTACATATCGGTTCCATTTTGTTTTCCATACATAGGTCCCTCTGCAGTGTAAATTTCCACTTCCCTATATGGCTTTGGTTGGTTAAGTCTCCAGTTACATATATATATATATATTCAAAGCTTCCCCACTTTTACTTTCTTAGTCTGTCTCAGTTCTGAGTTTCTAAGAGAGATGATGATTGGGCTGCGCACCTGGGGGTGCACATGAGGACATTTCTGGTTTGCTGAGCTGTGGCCAGGATCAGGGGTCATATGCTACCTAAGAGCACCTCTTTCTTGAATGTGAGCAGAAATAGTGGGCTTCTCCAGCTTTTAGGCTCATTTTCTTTCTAAACAGTACAGTGAATCTTGTTACTTTTTTTTTTTTAATTCTCCAGCATCTTTCTCGTAAATTTGCCCTATTCCTTGTTTATCAACTTTGACAGCAGCCATCTCTACTGTTCTTCCCCCCTCACCCTACTAAGCCAGACAGTGGCCCTCTTCCTTCCCCATTGGCTTCCCTTTGCACTGTCTCCTTAAACAATATGTCTTCCCTGTAAGTCCCATTTTCGCGGTATCTCTTGAACCATTTCTTTCTCTAGAGACAAGATATGTCTGTGTATGTTGATATATGCTGACAGGTAACAGGATTATAGACACATAACTTGGCGTTGCTATTCTTGTCTACTATTGGTCATATCCTTGTTAATACTACCTGCTTGAACTAATTTACAACATTGATGCTAATAAGATACAAACAATTCTTCTACTAGAATGCCATTTACTCAGCTGAGAGCTCCTGCCAACACAGAGTAGAGAAGCTCACTGCTAGACATTGGCTAGAACAACAAGAACGAACACTGAGATTTACTATGTGTCGGACTTGGCTCTTTGTGTTTCATATGAACTGATTTTTATCTATGAGGAAGGAAAATTATGTTTATTTTATAATTGATGATCTAAGACACAAGAGGTAAAGTAACTAACTTAGCAAGTTAAACAACTTGGAAGTGGCAGAGCTGGTCATAAACCTAGGCAGTGAGTCAACAATGACATCCTGGTGCTACACATATGCAAAACGGCAGGCAGTCACCTACAGGGAAGTGTTAGTTCAGGAGGGAACACAGGCTGGGCTCTCGCTCACTCTGAACAAGCTCCTGGAAGGCAGCAGTATCTGAGCAGATACCTGGAAGAGGACCTGGAGATAACCAGGCAAAGTGAGAAGGGGGAAGAGTCTGCCAACAAGAGCTGGTAAGGTGCTGAGTTTAGGAAAACTTAAAACATCTGGTACGGCTGGAATAGAACATGGCAGGAGAGGAGTGAGGAGGGGAAACTTCGCAGAGGTAAACAAGAACCGATCAAGAAAGGGCTTGCAGGACACGGCAAGGCAGACAAGAGTATAATCCTGTTTTGTTTTCCTTTCCCAAATTACTGAACCATAAATGACCAATGATATAGCTTAAAAGAAACAAAGGTTTTTCAAATATAAACTGAAATTTCTTCTACACACACCTTAGAAAATAACTCAAAGGTCATCTTTTGGCTCGCTTTCTCATAGGGGTCTTCTGGAAACAGCTTCTTTCCTGGATATGCTTCATCCAGGTACTCACAGGTGATGGCAGACTCACAGATCAGTTGGCCCTTACTGTTTTCCAGAACTGGCACCAGACCAAAGGAATTCTTCTTGAAGAACCACTCGGGCTTATTTTTCAGGTTGATGTTGATGACTTCATGCCTGAAAGACACATAGAAGAAAATGAAGAGACAAACGCTTTTTGTAACTTCTGAATGACTCCTTTCTGGTCCTACCATCCACTTAGCTGATCGGACCCCAAATTTAGAAGTCAACTCAGCTTCGATTCCTGCCCCCCACACCTTCTTCCTCAAGTCAAATGGATCAGCAAGACCTGTCAGCTAGACCTCCAAAACCATATTGACTTTATTCCCTTCTCAGCTTTATCACTACTACCTCATCCAAAACATCATCTGCCACCTGGGCCTCTACAACAGTCCCCACCAGCCTCTCAGCTCCTCCTGTGGCCTTCCTACCGTCCACTCTGTACACACGGCCAGGTGGGGCTGTAACAAAAGTAAATTAGATTAGGCCACTCTCCTGCTTACAACCACCTTTCAATTGCTCCTCACTGCAAAGAGCATAAACTCTAAATCACATCCTATGACACACAGGCACATGTAATTTTTCACACCTGTTTCCTACAACTTTCCCTCCTGTCATTATGATCTGGACACACTGGCCTTTCTTACATTCCTTGACTTTCCCATACATGTTCCCACCTTAGAACAGTTACACTTACTGGCCCTCTGCCTTCTCTGCCTGTCTTCCCAGGTCAAGTACCACATGCACAGAGAAGCCTTCCCTGACCGCCCATTCTGAGCTGCTGGGAGCCTCCATTGCGTGACCATCTTGTTTTACTTTCTTCATTGAACTGATACGCATCTGCAATTAGCTGATGACTTATTCACCCATTTATTATGTCACCTCCCTAAAAAGTAAACTCCATGAAAACAGGGATCTTAGGTGCCTTGTTCATATTAACAAACACATAAAAGCATATTTAAAATAGGTTTGAATGCTGTGAAGAAAATAAAAATAGTTTCAGATAGGCACTCAGTAAATATTTGTTGAATGAATAAATAACTGGAAATGCTTCAAGGCTGTCAGTAAGATACTTCATTTTTGGCTAAGAGGTATCTTAATTGTAAATTATATAATGCAACTAATTGAATTATGTGCACTATCCACTATATGAGAATCAATGTGATTAAATCCAATTCCTTTTGCTAATTTAGATAGAAAGTTCCTTGCTTTTTTACAAGGATATTAAGGAATCCAAAAAAAAAAAAAAAACCCCACCTACAAAATAAGCCTTCAGATTAAATCTCCATGCACTGATTTTTTTTTAACTGTTGCATGGTAAACACAAAAGGAAGAAAACAGATAAAGTCTGGGGTTCTATCCAGATCGTAATTAGATCTAACTTGTTTCTTGCCTGAGAGATTTTTAGAAGAAATAAGAGAAAGTAAAGTCTCACATAGTTAATAAAACCAGACCTATATAATTGTCAAAGCTAGATAATTATTCAATAGAACAGATTAGTTACTGAAAAATAACATAAACCAACACCTTTTGTTTCCTATTTTCCCATCCACTACAGTAGGTAAAACAGCATGTAGTATGAGGATTTAAATATGTAATTACCCACCCTGACAGTGTGGTTCAGTCAGCTAGACATCATCCTCCAAAGTGAAAGGTCACAGGTTCAATCCCCTGTTGGGGTGCATGCCTGGTTTGCGGGTTCAGATGGTTGGGGAGCATGCAAGAGGCAACCAACCAATGTTTTTCTCTCACATTGTTTCTCTCCCTCTCTCCCTCCCTTCCCCTCTCTATAAATAAATATAATATTTTAAAAAATATGTCATCACCCATGGAAACAAAGGTATAACCTGATGAAACACTAGTATGTGGGTATGTATGCATTTTGTTAAAAGGTTTATGTGCTGAAGAAATACTCAGATACAACCCGTTGCAAGAAAAATATGGCCCTTTGTCAAGGAATTATCAACTCTTCTGAAATTTTATACTATAAAAACAAAAGGTAGATCCTTTGTCATAAAGGTGTGTCAAAAAAGGTTCTCAGAACACAAGCATTTGGTGGTAACCTGGCATTATGAGTCAATAAGTCAACACACCTGCCACAAGTTGGAACACGTACCCTTTAAAGAAATTCCACGCGGTAAAACCAAAGGGGAAGAGCTGAGGGAGGTCAGGAGGGAGGGGGCAAGGGAAAGTGGTGGGGGGGAGGCAGAGGCAAATGTATTTGAAAAACTAAAGTTAAATTAAAAAAAGAAATCTAGTACTTCCCTAATGGAAGTCTCCTGGGATTCAAAACAGATCTATGACTGTTAGTGACCCCTGTTGTTTCTGTTACCTGGCAACTGTCACCACTCTTCACCCCCCATATACTCACTATCAAGGTAAAAAGTCATTTAAATTTTCCTTTGGAAAACTCTAAATAAGGTAGACTTGTTTTCAAACTAGAGTTGCAGAGGGGCACATAACCCAGGTCTTGGTGCCCTGAATTCAGCTGCATCTTGTTCTTGGACTTTTCAATTTTATGAGAAAAAGATATGTCTTTTTTCCGGTTTGAATTAGTTCTCTTACTTGCAATAAAAGAATTCTGACTAATCATAGCAAATATTATAGTATTTGGATAAAATTCAGGGCTTTGGGTAAATGTTAATAAATGTTGAGTATTTTACTACATGTTCAGATTCAATTTCATCCAAATAAGATGCCAATCTTACTGAGATGAGGGCTAATCCATAAATAATTTGGGTTTTTTTTTTCTTTAGAATACATCTTATATGTCTTTCAGGCAGGAATTGCCTGCCTAATTCTCCCCCATAAGACTAAAATACATTTATAAACCCTAAACACATGGAAAATTTCTTAGAACGGGGGTGCGGGGGGTGGCCCTACATTTTAAACTTCCACACTATAGGTATCTAACGTCTGTTTCACCTATTCCAAAAGTCATTGGAAGGGGGGCGGTTCCAATGGATATTTGACATCTCTAAGTGACTCCTGCATGATTCCCGCGGCTAACCCACAGGTCAATAGCCCCGCCAGTTTCAATGAGGCTTCGCAAAGGATTGAATTTTTAGGCATAGACCCTTTGATTCAACCAACAACCCAACCTAGAGGAATATGTATAGTATAGTTAACTCAGCACACTGCCAGGAGAGTCAAGGTATGAACTCTGCATTGGGCTAATTTTTAACTATTTGATAAAGAACACTATGCTCTGAATAACAGCAAGCAGTACCAGATAAATTGGTACTAGGTGGGGTTTGGAATGGAAAGTCAGGTGTAAGCGAAACGGCAGTGAACCAGGAATTAGGGATCTACAAGAGTTAAAAGAGCTGCTGTCTGTCACTACCTTAACTGGAGCCCATTTTTCTAACCTATAAAATGGTTAGGTTAATCTAAATGCAGTGCCCTAGACTTCTGGAGTCTATGGCATTTCCCTTCATCTCCCTCCCCTGGGAGAGGGTCCATAACTTGCTATGACTTCTCCAAAAGGCTGAGAATAGTAATTTGTTTTGCAGTAAGGAAAATCCAGAGGCCCTATCCAAGTTTCCCACCCCCACGGCCAGCAGCAGCGGATTCCCAGCTAGTTCCGGGAGCGGTCCCCCCGAGTCCTCACTTGATTCCCTTGGCCTCCAGGACGAGGCGCGTCCTCTCGGCGAATGGACAGAACCTCATGCTGTAGACGCGAATCAGGCCCTCCGGGACTGGTCCTGGGGGCGCGCTTCCTGCCGGGGAGAAGTAGAGTCGGTTATGTCCGGAGAGAGGCCTCCACTCCAGCCTCCCGCAGCCCTGGGACCGGACGCAGAGAGGTCCTGCGCTCTGCCGCCCCAACTCGTTACCCACGCGAGGAGCCTCTTCAGAGGAGCCTCTTGAGAGGCTCAGCTCTGAAGCAGCCAAAACGGGACCCCCGGCCGTGGGTGGCCGAGATCACCCCCGCTTCTCGCGCGGGCTGGCCTTACCCTTCTCCAGGCTCTTGGCGGACCCTCCGGACATCGTGGCCCAGCGTAGGCCTGGCTGGCGCTCAGGGTTTGCAGGGTTTTCAGGAAGTAGTCACCCCTCCCTCCTTTTCTTTCTCCTCCTCCTCCTCCCCTGAGATGCGCAAACCGGGGGCGGGCTGCTAGCTCCGCCTGCGCAGTGTTTCCAGGAATGGGCACAGCCCGGGGCGCTTAGATGGAACCCTTGCGTAAAGAGACGGGTGTAGTACCGCTACTGCCGCACCAGTCTCTATTTCCACCTTCTGCCAGAAGGAATGCGCCGCCGTCGTAGCCCTAACGCTACGAGGGAAATCGCCGCCCGGACGGTCATCCGTTGCGCCCAGACCCAGGGCTGGCCTTCCCGGTTTTGTGGGGATCGTGCATAAACCCTGCAGCTGGTGGTTGTGCGAAGTATCGTGCTGGCCATGAGATGACCCCACGTTGAGATGCACCCCCCCCCTTCAAAAAACAACAATAACAAAAAAACCGGAGCCATTTCCTAACCCCGAACGATGGTGGTTTCTCATCTACCCTCCACGCGGGTGCACGCTGACCCCAACCTTCCATATTCCGCGTCCCTGCTGGGCAGCCCACTCCGGCCTCCTTCATGCGGCACGGACCTGCTCATAGCTCCTCCTTTGCTCCAAGGCTTCTCCAACTTCAGGGCCTGTGGCTTGGGCCCAGCTTTCGCTCACGGTTCCAGAATGTGCTCTCCAAAGGTTCCTGTCCATGGCGCAGTGACGGGTCGCCCGGCCACATGGAAAGCCTTTTCCTCCTGTCAGTACTAGCTTAATATGATTACTGGGAGAGCCACTGTCCCTACTCGACTCAAAGGACACATCCTTATAATTTTAACTCAAAGGAAATGGCCCAAATCTGGATATTACTAACCTCAGATGGTGCTGCTTTCAAAAATCTATTAAACGTTTGGATTTTGAAGCTCTAGTAAATCTCAGGGTCATGCAGGTAGGCTGAATAAATTTAGTCCCATAGGTCTGTAAGAAATACCTGGGTTGAGCGGCTGCTCAAACAGCCCTTCTTAACTTAGGGGTTAGGAAAAAGGGATTCCAGAGCACATGGTACAGATACAGGAAAAGGGTAGCCAATGTTCTGCTTGTCTGCCTAGATTTGAGAGCTGGTGATGACTGCTGTGCCATTTATTTGCCAGATGGAAAGGTGGGGCTGGTCTGTTTTATTTTGATTAGTTCTATTATGGCAGAAACAGAAAATAGATGATAAGCACAACTGTCTCAGAGCCTTCCTGCCTGAGTTTGATCCTTACTCTATCCCTGTATTTATGAGTTTGTTAGGGCTCGGACAGCAAAGTACCACAAACTGAGTGGCTTAAACAGCGGAAATCTATTCTCACAGTTCTGGAGGCAAGAAATATCAAGGTGTAGGCAGGATGGGTTCCTTCTGAAGACTGTGAGAGAGAATCTGCTCCATGCCCCTCCCCTAGCTTCTGGTGGTTTGCTGGCAATCTTTTCTATTTTTTGGACTGTGGAAGCATCACCCCATCTCTGCCTTCATCTTCACATGGCATCCTCCTTGTGTGCCTATGTCCGAATTTCCTCTCTTTTTAAGGACATCAGTCATACTGGTTTAGGGGTCCATCCTGCTCTAGTGGACCTCATCTTAATTGAACTAATTACAAATGTAATGAACCTATTTCCGAATGAGGTCACCTTCGGAGGTCCTGGAAATTAGAGTTTTGACATATAAGTTTATGAACTCGTAATCCAACATATGAATTTTATGAAACTATATGAATTATACTAATCCCTTATTAATCATGTGACTGTAGGAGAGTTCCCTCTGTTGTTTCAGTTCCCTCACCTGTAAAGTGAGGTGCTGAAAACCTAATGGCTCTCTCACAGAATTTGAAGAAAGATCAAAATAGTAAATATATGGAAAGCACTTAGAACAATATTTGGCACAGAATGTGTTAAATAAATGTTTGTTATTATTGCAGATGCTCAGTGAAAAAAAAGTTGACCACATTTCTGCCAAAGCATGGGTCTTGCTTAACTCTTTTTCAGAAAAGCAACTTTTTGGAAGGTTTTTCAGCACATTAATATATCATGCAAATGAACCCTGTAAATTTAAACTTTGCCAAACTAAAAATTTCAGGTCAAAGTATTATTTGAGAACTACTTGGAATGGCCTGTCCCCTAACTAGTATAGGGTAATGTTTTGTTGCAATGATTTGAAAGATCCAATTCATTAATAAAGTAAAAAGTTAATTCCTCAAAGAAATAAATTGAAAATACATGTCCCAGGAAATTACTGTACTGTTAGCACTGCGCTACATTATAGTGGATCATCTCCAAGCCTTTTGGATTATGTGCTGGAAAAACACAGTTTTCACATTTTTCCAGCTGTAATTATCAATAATTAACTTACGTCGGCAAACGTCAACTGATTCTGCTGGTTAAAGATCAAGAGTTAGTGGTCCTAGTGATAAGAAATAATATTCTACCTTCTAAGTACCATCTGTCTTTACTGATGATATACACCCACTTGACACAACATTCTCTGACTTTTCAAGAATGTTATTTGAATAATTTTATACTTTTTAATATATACTAAATTGATACTTATATTTGACAGAGTAAGTTAGGAATATTGAAAGTCACATGAAGTGCTTCACTGTTATTATTTTAATTAATTATATTTAAAATCTCCTTTAAAAAATTAGGGCCCTTATTTTGTGAATACAGATGTTTCTTTAAAAATTAACATGCTATGACAGTCCATAGCAGGGAGAAATAGCCTTCATAAGAAAGTATTAGTAAGGCCCAGAGTGAAGTCAAATGGAAAAAAATTATTAATCCTCACAAAAAGAAGCCATACAGGAATAAATGGTCCATAAAAAATAGCAAAAAATACATATAAGGGTATATTAAAAGTGCATTGAGAGTAGAATGGATAAGTAAATTGTGGTGTATTCATATAATGAACAACTATCCAGCAATGAAAACTAATAAACTACAGCTACAGCTATCAAATGCATCTCAAAAACTTAAGATTGAGTCATAAAAACAAGTCACAAAACAATATATATGGTATGACTGCATTAACTTTAAAAACATGCAAAATGAAAAAGCATATTGGTTATGGCACATGCATATGTAGTAGAATTGAAAAGCAAGATGCAATAAACAGAATTCAGAAGAGTTGTTACCAGTGTGGGAAGGAAGAGAAAGAAAAAGGGAGAGGGTATGACATGGGGTGTGCTTTCCTGATATTGGTTACATTCTCTTTCTTAAGCTGGAAGGTGGCCACAGGACAATAGAACTGGTAGGAAAGGATGAGGTGAGGAGAAATGAGCTGCAGACTGTTGTCATTTGAAAACCTTCCTGTGTAGAATCTAAGTTTTTACTATATGCTATAGTAAAAAAATTAAAATTTAAGAAACTGACTTAAAAAAAGAACAACAATAACAATAAAGAAACCTACTAATAAAAGGGATGACGTAGAGCTATATATACTGATGCAGAAACACATTCGGTATATTCTTAAATGAAAATGAGGTAAAACAGCGTAGAGGAGATAATTCCACTATTGAATGCACACTGTCTGCCACATATCTGCTAAGCATTCTACATGAAAAACTTTAAATCCTCACAACAACCTTAAGAATTAAATAAGAAACCCTGTTAATGCTACCATCTCTTGGATGAGGAAACTGGAGGATGGCAATGAAGTACTCTACCAAGAGGGACATGCTTTTGAATGGTGGAGCTGGTTTTTCAACTGTGGACTGATATCGGAGTCTGATCTCTACCTACTTCCATATCTCATCGATTCTTAGTTGTACACTTCTTCACTTTTGAACATCTCTGAAAATTGGGCTATATCTTAAGATCACTGTTTGCTGGGTGCAGTCCTGACATGGATGTTATTGCTTGTGCTTAAATTTGTAGGGTCGATGTCAATGGCTTGGAAGAAGATCCCAGAAATAAGGGGAGCACTCTGAAATGCTTCTGCTGGCACATAGGAAAGGCTGGGGTTGAGGATGGAGGGGAAATGAAGGCCTATGACTCTGATTTGAATAATTATTCAAAAAAGATGGATTCTGCCCTGGCTGGTGTGGCTCACTGGATTGAGTGCCAGCCTGTGAACCAAAGAGTTGCCAGTTTGATTCCCGGTCAGGGCACATGCCTGGGTTGTGGGCCAGGTCCTCAGCTGGGGGTGCGCAAAAGGCAACCACACATTGATGTTTCTCTCCCTCTCAGTCTCCCTCCCTTCCTCTCTCTCTAGAAATAAATAAATAAAATCTTTTAAAAAAAAAGCTGGATCCTAAAAGTGATGAAGTTGTAGCTTATGTCACCTATATTTTTTTTTTATACTTGCACAAGAGTAAGATAGATAGGGCAAAAATCTATTTTTATATAAGTTTGAGTTCTTTTATGATAAATATCTAAGCTTAAAAGAGTTCTTTCAATAAGTATAAAATAAAAATTCTGGGTGATGAGAAAAGATTCTGTTGTAATTTTTCTGGTATATTTTTCCCATTTATCATTTTATCTTAGATTTGATGAAATAGAGTAGTGTGACTGGTCTCCTTCATAATAACCTTTAAAGTATTTGCTGACTTTTTTAAAGAGAAAAGTGTATTTTATTTAATTACCAAGTACAAAAATACAAATATATGCAACATTATTTCCCCTTACCATGTGGGATGCATTGTGAAATTTTCTATTTCATTTTCTTTCATTAAAAGAAGAGACTGGTGATGACTTAAAACAGATCATACCACTAATATGTTCCAATCTCTAACTGTTCCAGAACACAGACTTGTGTTACTGATGTTAATTAATAATTTAAGGGAACCTGATAATCTTCCTTCTTAGAATTAACCTTCTATAGTAGTCTATGTACCAGAGGAAAACATTTAGCAGTCTTGTGACCAGGTAGCCACCCTGAACATGATGTATGATGTCGTGTGCACATAAAATCATGGTCCTTCCCAGGCTCAATAGCTGAAGAAAATGACTGGAAACTATGTAACAGGACCACGTGTCTGTATTACACATTTTATATAAAATTCTTTTCATATACATTATTTCATTTGATTCTCATAACAACCCTGTGAAGGTAGGCAGGGAAAATATAAGGTTCCTTTTACAGATGATGAA